ACGTCATATGTGTACTTCAAGTAACTTGGGAATCAATCATGTCGTGTAAAGAGAATTTGGCTAAGACGGCATGTACAAAGATACGTAAAATGGAGTTTAAAAGCAAATATCATGAATATTTTGTAAAATCATATGGAGATCAATCAATAAAATAGGTATGCAAATTCATTTTCATCGATTATATTCTCTTTCGAAGACAGTCAGCTATATACGTATCCCAGTCGGCCTTTCCTCTGTCATTTGTGACAGAAATAATGCAACAGAACAACAATAAGCTGGATATTTCAAAACATAAGATTTGTACATATAGAAAGTTTGCCTCCTAAAATACTTGGAAAGTGCTGCTAGAATCCCGAGTTAAGCATGGTTTTACGAAAAATCTCGATTCATATGTAAAAAATTCAAAACATCGGGTAAGATTTCGTGCGAATGTGTGGAATAATTATTTTACTGAAGGGACAGTGGGATTCTAGCAGCACTTTTTAGACAAAATAGATGTTTCTCAACTACACTATTTACTCAAAGAAATTATTAAACTCCTGGGTATTGTTGTTCTGTTAGCTTTTTTATTAAGGAAAAATTCGCTATTAATAGAAGTCACGTGATGCCGTGGTGGTTGAGCACGTCGTTGCGTTAAACACTCTTTTATCTTTTTGCAATAAATAATAATAGGTTACGTTTTTGAGTGGTTTAGGTAAATTATCAAACTTAATTTTCTTCAAAAAGTCTAAATTTCCCAAAAAATGACTTATATGCTTCCTTAACATACCTGCGTTAGGGTTTGTCTGAGCATGTTGAGTGAGTTTAGACAGATGGGCATATAAGATTACTCAAACATGTCACCGTAGAATGTGTTCATATTTTAATAATTAAATGTCATAGTTTTAGTAAATGTCATAGTTTTAGTAATGATGCTCTCAATGCAATTCTAGTCATCAACTTAAACTATGGAGCTTGGTGTTTAGAATTTATTAAACGAATTTGAGTTATGTACGGAAAACCTCGATCAGACATTACAAAGTGGAAACACTGAACATATCTATCTCCGCTTACATAGATTTTATCTATTTGTACATGGATAAAAACATGATAAACAACGTTGCACCTTACTTAGACAGACCCAAGCTTTTCCTGTGATCAGAAACCAGACTTTAAAAAGATGTGGCAAACAAACCACTTATTCAGTGATTCATTTTGCCCTGCGTATTGCGTAATTTACGCATTAAATTCATTAAATACCCATTGGTTTTTGTCCAGTGCGTCCCGAATACGCATAAGTGATAACCCGCATAAAATAGAATCGAAGTTTCCAGTTTCTATTTTTATCGTTCATTCGGTCAATCAATAAAATAGGTTTTCGGAACAACTGCAACACGTTTTAGCATACTTCATATTTCATTTGTCTTCTATAAATCATTTAAACAAAAGGCTTAAAGTATGAGATACGGTAAAATTACATTTAACAAGTGTTTTTAATTGTTTAATATGTCGTAATTAACACGCGCTCAGCCGCTGACACAGTATACGAAAGCTGGTCATAAACCGTCTCGATTTTTAACAAAGAAAATATTAATAATCAAAGCAAATTATAAGGACAGTGAAAAATCAGTGATCTAACTGTAAAAACATTGCTTTGGAGTTGGTAGACACTTAATTGCCTGGAGGGGTGTTGGGAGATAATTATCAAGTGACCAGCGCACGTGTTTAAAACATTGGCTTCCTTTCATTGGTACGTAGATAGGGGGTTTATGTTGCAGTGAATTTTCACTGAGTTATTTACAACCTAAAATATTTTTTTATTATTGTATTTAAAAAAAAGACATTACTTTGTCTGATTATTACGGAAGGAGTGAACGTCTAAAAATAACATCGGTAATGGCGGCCTACACGGAGAGTCGGGGAGACAATAAACATGCAGCTCAAATTAATTTTAACTTGCTTTTTCATGTAATTATAGTATCAAAAGGTTATGAAAATGACATTTTTAACAAGCATACATGTACTTTCCAACAATAAATTCCGAAGTTTATATTAAAATATGGCGATAAACAAAAGAAGTTACACATGTCTCTATATGTAATAATACGGTATGTATGTATGATAGCCATGTTTCACCTGAAAGAAAAACATATGAAAATCCCATTTTCATGTAAAGTATGCGCTCCTTTCTTACAGAAATTTATTTTAGGAAAAAGTGCGTATTATATTCCGCCAAATACGGTAACTGAAGAAAAAAACTTGGCTTGATATCACATTCATAGTTGTTAAAATTCTGACCCATTGATTTTGAGTTCTGACCCATTGCTTTCTGACAGAGGGGTACACTGTACCCATTCATTCAATTTTCAAAATGAATCACTGCTTATTTGTATCTATGAATAGCGAAAATGTATTACATAGACACAAAAAGCTGTAAAATGTGCCACTTCTCTCATTTTTTTATCAAATAAATCGCATCCAAACGACCAATATTGAAACTGAAAGTGTTTTCTTCTTTCACTTCCGTCATAACGTCACACATGCGCATTACCGGTATATAGAATATTCCGAAGATTGAACCCGATTACTATAATGCTTGTGAATCGCGAAAACGAATTCTTGGCCGTCTCTGCATTAAATATTCAACTTATAATTTAAACCATACTTATTAATGTTCTATTAACGATAGTTTTAAATATTCAAAGCAATTTTTGCACCCAAATCATAAAAGTATAGATGTTAAAAAGATTTTTCAAATAATCATTTTCCAGCAAATTTGGTATAAAAATGTGAAATTTTCTTGATTGATGCCCGTTGCCCCACTTAATTTTTATGCCATATAAGGGAGAGACTATTGGAAAATAACGTGTTAATTTTAAAAAGAAATCTGTAGTTAGAATATCAAGCAGCAATTTATTTTTACTAGCAATAAACTTTTTAATTTTGAGCTAAATATGTTTAATTCGCCCTAGAAAGTAATATTAGGTGGATCAGCAGATTAAAAAATTAATTAAACCGTTAAACAAACATATTTTCTCTATAATTCATATGTTAAAAAAATTCTTTTGCTTTTACATTTAGAAATCTAGCATAAATATCTTAATTACATAATTAACTGCATTTCCGTAATTTCACGAGACAATGTCTATTTTTAGTAACAATCCTATCAAAAGGAGGCCCGGTTGACCCCAAAATTTACACTGATCTGGAAAGGACAAATACTCAATTAAGATTCTGAAAAGTTTCAACAAAATCTGTAGTTCCGTTATTTCTATAGCATGGTATGGATCTTTACCTTAATACTCAGAAGCAGAGAAGAAGATTTTTAAAGAATTAATGCATTTTCTCTATATATTATCAATAGAGCTCCGCCACAACACCAGAATCCCTGACCCGGGGGCCATAAAATTTACAATTTTGGTAGAGGCACTCTTGCTCATCATAAATATGTACTTAATTACATGTAGTTTATTTAATACTCAGGGGTAGAGAAGAAGATTTTCAAAGAAATAATGCATTTTACATACTCATTTGTAATTTCGAGTAGTACTTGTCATTCAGTTATTTTAATTATCACGTTTTACTTCAATTGAAATCAGCAAATAATAACCTGTGTTTTTTAAAAAGTTTTTTTTTAAAGCCAACGTTCCATGTTTCATCAATCAAAACAAGTGGACCATAGATTTTGATTACCCATGCGTAAATAATGTAACCACGTTTATTTGATACTTTAGTTTTAAAAATCATTCAAATAACTATCGAACTTACTGAAGATGTGGAAGGATATTATTTCTTCAACCTTCATTAACACATTTATAATTATATAACCGGAAATTAAAAAGCTGTGCAAAGTCATGCACAGTCGTATTAGACTCGGCCACGTTAAATCTAACAATTTTATATATATAGATAAGAAACAAAATTAAAGCTGGAGACCAACACCCTAAGGTTAAAATTGCGGAAGATTCTTACGAGTGGATACCACGTGGTATTCAATAGGGTCTGGATCAAAAGTAGTGCTTTAAAGTCATGCACATGTAAATTTATTTTGGTTTACCGTATTAGAACGGTTCGGCCACGTTAAATTTACATGTGCAACAATTTTATATATATATAGATAAGATAAGATATATATTAACCTACCCTGTTGTTAGTGAAATAAAGAAATAATGCTGAATACGTATACATGTACATGTAGCTATTGCATGGATTAAATGAACATTTACAAGGGAGGAGATAACTTTTGTTATATACCAAATCCACGAATTCATGAAACACAATCGTGTCAGATTAGAGAAAACACGACAAATACAATCTGTTAATTAATTCCCTTTATAGAAGATGTATATTTCGGAGATAACTAAGTTTTAAGCTCAAAGGTCCATTTAAACAACACAAAGCAGAAAAAGAATGAACCTCAGCTAAAACAAAAGGGGTTTGGAAGCAGGTGACATGGAGACCATTTTAGGGATTGCTACACTCGTATTTTTAGTGCTCAGTGTTACTGGATAATCCAATCATTGAATTAACAATTTTCTAGGTTTCTCCCTATAAAAGAATTAACTTACTCAAAAGAAAAACGTCACACATGTGTACTAAATTTGTCATTTAATTGAAATTGAATGATAGTCTTCGAATAACATCCGATCCCTTGCAAGGTTATTCGTTTGTCCAGTATGTATAAATTTATTAAAATTATATATTCATTTTTATACCTTTTTGAAAGATGTTTTGCTATTTACTTTTAAAATTTGGCCTTATTTAATGTTCACCAAACAAATTAAAAGTATACCTGTACAAAAAGATTTCAATTAGTCTTCATTATTTTAGAGTATTTCTGCTTTAATTTTTTAATTGAAAACAACTTTTATTTGTAATGCTAAGTAGAACAATTGCAAACCTCCTGCGATGTTGCCCATAAGATAACTACATATTATAAGCATCACTTCCCTTTCAGAGAGAGAGAGAGAGAGAGAGAGAGAGAGATGAACACAATCATAAAATAAAACAAATTAACTTACCTGCCCGGTTGACTGTTATGGATTTCTTTACACCTGAAAAAATATACACAGATAAGATAATATAAGATAAGATTTATTAATACCAATTTGGGGCCCATCAGGGCATACAAGTAAAGAGAAAAACATACAAGAAGAAATTCAAAATTGATAGTAGCAACTTACAAAAGATTAATGATCATACAGCAGTTGGGGATTACAACATATATAATCTACTAGAGTATAAACATTATTACTCTTTTGTATTTATTTGTATACACATGTATATGTTATAATAGTTAGAAGTGTTATCAGGAATAGCATATACATGTCTACTTGAAATTCCTTCTGCTTTATAGGAAAAACGTGTATTTACTATTTTCAGTCAGGAAATAAATCTATTTACTAAATTTTTTTTACTCTAGTGTTTACTGACTATGATTCTGGTTACATTAAATTAAGTAATGTATGAATTAAAAATCACTATGCTTCCTGTCATTTTGTCTCTTTATAATCAATACCCAACAATTATAATCGCATAGTGTACAAAGTATTTAAATAACGTAAGCATACTATAGGAGTATCTTTACAACACTTTTGTTAAGGGAAGGAAATTCGAGTTTTACCGCACTTTTGATATATTTGTCACACTGTGAATGGATATCATTTTGAAATAATCTTTGCATAGTACACTAGCTGTAACAAAATATTATTTTATTCAATAAATTAATTACAGTATTTCACTGACATTGAAAATGAAATACATATAGCGTTATTAAACTTATATTGGTAAATATTGGCAAGAATTTTCTGTACAAATAAAGTAATTGCGAGTGCATTGGTACAGCCGAGTGCCAATATATATTCACCATTGACCAATACAAGTTCACAAGTAAAATTGATGCAAAGCATCACATCGGCAGCAAACAAAATTAAGCATTTAAAAAGGTTCATTCTCTATAAGGCCATTTTCCGGCCTACGATAAAATCACTTTAAAATGTGATTTTATATAACTATAATCATTCTAGTTCATGATTTTGGTGTTTGTTTTTCAACATCGATCATCTAAGTCACGTGATTTCGAGATAAAAAATGGTTGTCAGTTAAAGAAAAATTGAGGGTAGGTCTATTTAAATCAAGTTTCTATGCATGTTTCTGAATGTAAATGATCAAAAATTGTTTATTTATGTCGGAATTACATCAGACCTAAGTAATAAATTCGAAGATTTTTTAAATTTAGGTTTCAAGATATTTTTTATGACAAGAATTCTAATGCATCCATTTTTTGCATATTTTGAACGTAAATCTTTACGAAATTCACACTGTATGGTGCTGAAAAAAGTTTGATTTGCAATTTATTGAAAAGTATTATATCATATATAATTATATTGTAATTGTGTACCATTTCTGTAGACGTGGTACATGTACCTAATTTATGCATAAAATGCCCATGTAAGAAATGAGGTTTCTAAGTTTCTATTGAACTTTAAAAAGTTATGTATCAAATGTTGAAATCATTGAACGTATTTTGATTGTGATCAAATAAAACTGAAGTAGTAATTAAGAAAAGAAATTCAACAATTGCAAAAAAATAAAGAATTAACAGCATAAGAATATCAATCCAAGTACATGTTGACTATCCATATATACATGTAAATAGTCAATACATCTATAACTCAGAGCGGTTGCATTAAAATATACATCTCTAAGTAAAATGAAATAGCGTCGTAAAATTGCTTTGCTTTTATTCAATTACTCGTGCTGCACGATATATTCAATTAAAAATGCCTTCTAAACTTTATGTATTTACATGTATTAAAGTTGAGACCCCCCCCCCCCCCTTATGTGTAAGGGCACAGCATAACATGGAGCAGAATTTAAGCAGTTCCTTCAACTATGCATATCAGACTCTGAAGTTGTTGTATTTACTAGTATACGGACTTAAGAGTTCTACAACATCCCAGGTACAAAATGGACACTTGGGGTTTGATTCTCCTTTCCCGTTCTTGAAACCTGTAGGTTAAATTCAGTCTTATTCCCAGTGCAGCGTCAAAAACTTGTTTAACACGGACAGTGACAGTTCCCTACCTAAGTCTTTCGCATTTTAGTAAATGTCATCGGTCTTTTGGATATTATCTTTCTTTCTTTCTTTTTTTTACAAAAAGGGTCCCGTCCTTCGTTGGGTGTTGATCATTATTGCAACTATGCATAAACACTTGACCTTAATTGGATGATTTCTTTATCTGGTTGAAAAATCCTTAAATGGGGTAAAGCAACATTCATTTATCAATCACATAATACATTTAGGAATCCCTCTCCACTTTTCTAGTTTATTTTCTAAGACAGGACTAATGTTATCGTAACTTATGTCGATAATATCAAACAAGTGTGATGAATAGATTGAGTCCTCTCAATATTAAGACCCAGTTAACAAAATATGGATCACGTGATACTCGTGCGAAAGTGTCCAAATAAAAATTTTGCGTGTACCCAGAGGAAAAAGGTCTATAATACAAATAATACATGCATGTTGCCACTTCAACAAAGATTAATTGCTTTCATCATTTCTAGAACATATACAGTACTCATAAGGAAATACAAAGAATATTTGCAGAACTCATAACGAAGTTCAAAGAAGTAGCATATATAGATATACTTAACTATCATTTTAAATATAAAAGATAATCATATTCACACCTTATATTCTATAAAAAGTTCTTATTTTAATTTTGATTAAACATTTCAAAGAAACGTCTCCACTTGTAATTTCATGACATCAAGTCTTCTCAGTCCTTTGATTTTTAGATTTTTAAGTAAAAAGGCAGTGATTCATTTTGCCCTGCGTATTGCGTAATTTACGCATTAAATTCATTAAATACCCATTGGTTTTTGTCCAGTGCGTCCCGAATACGCATAAGTGATAACCCGCATAAAATAGAATCGAAGTTTCCAGTTTCTATTTTTATCGTTCATTCTGTTTTTCGGAACAACTGCAACACGTTTTAGCATACTTCATATTTCATTTGTCTTCTATAAATCATTTAAACAAAAGGCTTAAAGTATGAGATACGGTAAAATTACATTTAACAAGTGTTTTTAATTGTTTAATATGTCGTAATTAACACGCGCTCAGCCGCTGACACAGTATACGAAAGCTGGTCATAAACCGTCCCGATTTTTAACAAAGAAAATATTAATAATCAAAGCAAATTATAAGGACAGTGAAAAATCAGTGATCTAACTGTAAAAACATTGCTTTGGAGTTGGTAGACACTTAATTGCCTGGAGGGGTGTTGGGAGATAATTATCAAGTGACCAGCGCACGTGTTTAAAACATTGGCTTCCTTTCATTGGTACGTAGATAGGGGGTTTATGTTGCAGTGAATTTTCACTGAGTTATTTACAACCTAAAATATTTTTTTATTATTGTATTTAAAAAAAAGACATTACTTTGTCTGATTATTACGGAAGGAGTGAACGTCTAAAAATAACATCGGTAATGGCGGCCTACACGGAGAGTCGGGGAGACAATAAACATGCAGCTCAAATTAATTTTAACTTGCTTTTTCATGTAATTATAGTATCAAAAGGTTATGAAAATGACATTTTTAACAAGCATACATGTACTTTCCAACAATAAATTCCGAAGTTTATATTAAAATATGGCGATAAACAAAAGAAGTTACACATGTCTCTATATGTAATAATACGGTATGTATGTATGATAGCCATGTTTCACCTGAAAGAAAAACATATGAAAATCCCATTTTCATGTAAAGTATGCGCTCCTTTCTTACAGAAATTTATTTTAGGAAAAAGTGCGTATTATATTCCGCCAAATACGGTAACTGAAGAAAAAAACTTGGCTTGATATCACATTCATAGTTGTTAAAATTCTGACCCATTGATTTTGAGTTCTGACCCATTGCTTTCTGACAGAGGGGTACACTGTACCCATTCATTCAATTTTCAAAATGAATCACTGAAAAGGTCACCTTTTTTTAGTAAATATGCATGGCTGATATAAACCTTAGGAAATCAACAGAAAATTGTAATATAACCAAAAGTTAATAAAAAGAAAAAATCTACATAAGCTGATATCCTTCATTGTGAGTAGTTAGCTTTTTATGGAAATATCGTAAAAATGAAGTGAAAAGTTTTTATTTAGATGTCATAACCACCCTTAACCAAATTCATAATTTGGTAGTCACTTTTTATGTTTATAAGAAATTTACATGCAGATTTTGGTGTTGGTTAAAGGTGGTTATGACATGCGTAGGAGTTATCTAACACAGCCACCCTCTTGTGTTTTCCCATTACTCTTATACTAATACGGACCGATAGTACCCTACTTTGTGACCCTATATCATTAAAAATACTATTGTATCATTAACCAACCAATATTTATCATAAAATTGGAACACAAGTCTAGTGATTCATGAAATTTTTAAGGGAAAAAATACTATCTGAAAATTTGAAGTCATTGTAGGCCGCAAAATGGCCTTATAGAGAATGATCCTTTCATTCACAATTTTAAAAGCGTCAATGCAAGGAAATCACGTCAGGACATTCAAAGGCAATATTGTTGATTCATTTTTATTTCGGGCTGTCTTCAAAGAAAAAATATAATTTAAAATAATTAAATAAACAGACATTTCACTTTTACTGCATTTGCTCATAAAATTAGATCAATGTATAAAAATGTCAATGCAGGGACGTAGGATCGATTTTGAAAGATGGGGGACAGCCAGAGAACTTGTTTTAGGCTACTCGAGAAAACTTGACAAGCCAAATTAAAAAAAGAAAAAGGAAATTGTCCAAACTCAAAAATCCTATCAGACATTCTTGCTGTTATAAGTGTGTGTGTGTGTGTGAGGGAGGGGCAGCCTTCAATGTACATTTTAAATAGTATAAAAATGTATAGTATACTTAAAAAAGTGGGGGGGGCAGGCCCCCATGGATGCACCCTGTTGCTACGTGTCTGCAATGATCATTGATGAATGATAAGAATTTATTGTCATCAAAATGAAGATAAACTACGTGCTGATACCCTTTATATTGATCACATGATAATGCCCATGATTTCTGCAAAGTAGGGTATGCTGCAAGCCGCAGTGCAAAATTTAGAAAAAAAATATCTTGGGTGTCGTTTGCAACTGTAGAGCATGTTCAAAACAATTTTTACTAGTTGAAAACCATTTATTTATTCACCATGCACTTTTACCACGTCATTATTATCCGGAAAATCAGGACGATTTCCTTTCATATCTTACACACTCCCAGACTGGGGATTATCTATTGTAAACGCTTTTATATAACCAGAGATTATCAATTATCTGATGAGAAATGATAATGAAATAAAATTTCAATAACAAAAATTAATTCTTAGTTTAAAGCAAGTTTTTAAAATATTTTACTCATGATTTTTGCTTGTCATCATTTAAGAATTATTTTATTGAACTAATACGTCTCATTTACCCATGTGCACTTTCTAACACAACCACAAATAGATCGGCCGCTGCTGCAGCCGAAAATAACTCCTTTAATTATTATGTAGCTAAATATTTACCATTGATTTTTATTGATCATTATTCTTCAGAATTATACAGTCAATTTGATTGGTTTAAAGTATGTCACGTGAAGTGTGACATTTCGTGATGTCTCCCTCACGCGCTGGGTGGCAACTGCTGTCACCCTTCAGATGACGATGAGATAGCATAAGTGAGCATGCAGGGTAACAAGTGTGTTGTCGCCCTTTGAATGAAATTACAGGTTTAAACAAGACAACTTTTATTTATACGGTATCTATATATGACAGGGGTGTAGCAACAGGGGGGCCAGGGGGGGGGGCCTGCCCCCCCCCACTTTTTTTCCCAACCTTACTTATACTATAGGAAATGTTAATTGAAAACCTGGTTGGCCCCCCCACTTTGAGACTTTTAGTGATTACAGAAAATGTAGTATTAGAATTTTACTAAAAGTAGTTGACACTGAGAAAAAGTTTACCTTTCAACCCCCCCCCCCCCCCCCCCCCCCACCCCCGAAATATCCTGGATTCCTAAAGAAAGTTTTTTTTTTTTCTTTTTTTTTTTTTTTATTTTTGCTTTTTTTTTTTGCTTGTCAACTTTTTCAGGTAAGTAAAAAAAAATTTCTCTCTGGCTGGCCCCCCCCCCCACTTTCAAAAACGATGCTACGCCACTGTATGAACAATTGCTAAATATGCGGGATCAGTAAACAAAAATTTCTAACGATGACATCAAAGTTGTCTGTTGACATAATGATATTTTGAAAGTACGGAATCAGAGCAGAGTAGGAGAACATAAGAGATTTGATAAATTACTATTTTCTACTCTATGTAATTGAATAATTGATAATTTAGATTCTTCGGGATAATAAAACTATTATGGAAAGTTTAGAAGGGAGACATCACCAATACTTGATATCGCGATTACTTAACTTAGCGGCCGGAACTCTTTCGCGATGGAGATAGGAAACGTCTTTTGGATGGGGACAATGTGCTATTGAAAACAATGCAAGATCGATCATTGTAGAATTTATAAGGAGAGATAGGTAAAAAATCCTGGTGGAATACATTGCTAAGCAATCGCTGAACCAGTCAAATTAATTTTTTTTGAGGAGCTAATCCTAAAATGGTACATTTTAACGATATTTTTTTTTTACTAAGCAGGCTCTTCTCACTAAATTTTCATTGAAAATCGTCACGTTTTAAAGCTGATAAAATAATCTAAACTTTTTTTGTATTTGACAAACTACTATTTAGAGTTCAATTCTTGGCAATACATTGTACTTTCGTCATAAAACTGTTCAAATCATTCGATTGACATTGTCACTACTGTAAACAATGCCATGTGCCCCACTAATCTCGCGAGATTTGAGCTTTCTCGACTCCCCCGCAAAAGAGCGGTAGTAAGTTAGATAACTGCGAGGTACTCGCGATATTACGTATTCATATCAATGAAATTATTGGCCTAAATATTGTTGTATTCATCATCAGTATGACTGTATTATTAAATTTTATGCTCACTATATAATTGCACCATTCCTGCGTTTGGCCTTGAGATGTAAGTAAAACAAAAAGTATGTAAAAATAGCTACTTTGGGTAGGTTCAAATACCTTCAAAGCTATTATTAGCTACGTAGGTAGAAAAAGTCTTTGGACTGGACCTGTTAACCTTGTCAACTTAAACCCAGTGAGCAGAGTTCATTAATTTTCATGTACAAAAGTCTTTCATTATTTTGAATTAACTTATCCACTTTCCATTTTAATTTTAAAATTGTCTCCTTCCCTACCGCATATGTTTTGGAGAAAATTGGCCTGAGAACCAGAGAATTAAATTTATATAGCCTTATCTCACCAAAAACAAAGTCAATAATTATATGTAAGAAGCAGTGAAAAGTTCAGTATATTTACTGACTGAAAACAATAAATACATGTAGTTTCTAACTGAAAATAGAGAATTTCATATATACACATATATTTCCTCAAATTCAGGAAAAACATGAAATACCTAATAATACACATACATACTGTAACACATGTATACATACAAGTAACTCTATTGTATGCACTTCTCTTTATAAAGAACAGACAGCTAGATGAATTAATACTGTCTCATAGTTATACTTCAAATCCCTGCTGAACTATGACTAGCTAAAATAAATACCCGGTTTAGGTGTCACTGGTTTTGGTGGTGGTGGTGGTTTGGGGGTCTCTGGTTTTGGTGGTGGTTTGGGCTTCCTTGTTCGCCATTTTTTCCCGCCCATTGGCCTAGGGGGTCTTAGCTCTGGTCTTGGGGGACGTCTGGGGGTCACGCTTGTAAGGCCCTCTAATCTGTATTTGGAAACAACGTCAATATCAGCAAATCCCATCCCAGTTTTCACGATAGCGTATGTTTTCTTGTGTTTCCAATTCCATTTTGAATCTCTTAGCATATAATCCATATATCCTAAAAATTGAAAAGAAAAGAATAAACAATTATAAACTAGAACTGTCCAAATAGACGAATACCCCCGATGGGTATTTCAGAAAAGGTGCCAAATCATGAATACTTTATGAATCTAAGAGAAGAGAGAAATGGTGAAACATTTTTAGAGCAAATATAATTGCTCGTAATATTTTTCTATGAATGAAACGAAGGTGCAGCCTAATAAAAAATAAATAAATACTAGATATGCAAACCAGACACGAATTATGAACTTTTTTCTGTTACGTTAATACATTTATACAAGATTTAAGACGAGGAATTGACAACAGAATGAGATGGCAGATCTTTCACCAATATTTATAAGCTTACTACAAAGTTTGGCATGGGAAAGCAAGGAGCTTAATACATACTTTTCATCATAAACTGCTGGGCGTTTCTTTGCAGCGGAGAATTAGCTCCACTCCAGTTGAAGGATGCGCAAAGGGCACTGAGGAACAAAACCAGACTGCACACATTCATATTGGCGAACGTCGTTAACTTCTGAAATATAAGAAACACAAAATAAACATTCATCCAGTTTTCATTAACATTTTTTTCCAATGAATCAATGATCAATATGACTTTTTTTCCCTTAATATTATGCAAAACAAAAGCACTAGTCATTGAGATTAATTTATGAAATCGTCAAGAATTCAGTAAAAACAAGAGGCCCATGGGCCACATCGCTCACCTGAGTAATTTTTTTCTTTACAAATTTCCCCTCTTGCTATATTTTTTTTTTTTAATATATTAGAATCTACACTACCCAAGGATGCTTCCACATAAGGTTCAGCTTTCCTGGCCCAGTGGTTCTAGAGAGAAAGATTTTTAAAGATTTGTTCTATACATTTCAATGTAAAACTTGGATTCCCTATTGTGGCCCTGCCCTACCCCCAGGGGGCCACCGGTCCTTCCAATGAGACCGTATAAATCGAGGTTCCGTGTCGCTGGCGCGAAAAAGATCCCTCACTTCTCAATACTAGTAGCCCTTAGTGCTGAGTATAGGACAAAATTTGCAGCTCTCTACGTACATGAACTCTCCATATAAGTTTAAACAACATACAATGAATCAATCTTCAAATATAAATTCCTAAATATTTTTAAGGCGTTTTGGTAATTTCACATGTCAAAGTCAAATTAAAAAAAATGCTATAATTTCTACTTTAAAAAAACATAATTTGGCAGTTTTTTTTTAGCTCATAGCCGAATGCTAATGAGCTTTTCTGATCACATTTTGTCTCCGTCCGTCTGTAAACTTTTCACATTTTCTTCTTCTCTGTGGACCAAATTTAACCAAATTTGGTACAAAACATCCTTGGGTGATGGGTAGTTTAAATTGTTTAAATGAACGGCCAAGTCCCCTTTCAAGGGTAGATAATCAAGAAAAGACAAAAATAGGGTGGGGTCATTAAAAAAATCTTCTCAAAAACCACTGGGCCAGGAAAGCTGAAACTTATGTGGAACAATGTCCCACAGTGGGATTCGAACCTGCGACGTAAGGATCAACTCCTGACCTCACTATGCGACTCTGGAGCAGACTAAATAGACGCTCTAGCCACTGCGCCTCGCAGGCGACTGTATTTGAAGAAGATGCCTACAATACTATGCTTCATGGTGTTTTGATCAGATCATGATAAAATTAAATAAAACTCTAATACTATTAAAGGGAATAAAATAATTTATCAAAGAAAAAAATGAATTTATGACTCATTCACTATAGGCAGTTACTGTTGATTCAAATGATTGTGAAACCACAATGCAGGCACGTAGCAAAAAAAAAAAGGGGGGGGGGGGTGGGGCAGGGAGTCCCCCCACTTTTTTCCCAAACATTACTTTACTACATTACTACAGAAAATGTTCATTGAAAGGGTGGTTGCCCCCCCCCCCCTTATTACTACAGTAAAATGAGTGATGAAAATAACTGTAAAAAAAAAAATTGGAACTGAAAGAAGTGAAAGAAGTTGGCATAATAAAAAATGGCCTCCACCCCCCGTCCCCCCACACACACCATCACCACCACAGACACACACACAAATAGGATTTTCGCTTTTGGGCAATTTCTCCTTTTTTTGCCTGTCAACTTTTTCTGCCCCCCTTCAAAAACGATGCAACATGTACATCACTGCAATTAAAGGTCAAGTACGGGATTTTTTTTTTAATTGGAATGATATATACATAATTGTCAACCGGTCTCATATGATTTAAAGTCCCTTAGCTGTTGAACTGATATTTTAAATTTCAAGCTGTTTAATTTAATTTTCATCAGGTTTTAAATGCTTTTTTCCATTACTTAAATACGACGGCGTATTCGTGCCATTTTAACAATGCAGAATTTTTTTTAATCGTTTGAACAATTTAAGAAAACGTTTGTACGATTTCACAAATTGTTTGTACGATTTAATAAATCGTTAATACAAATTAATAAATCTTTTGTTCAATTTAATAAGTCGTTTGTACGATTTAATAAATCCTTTGTACAATTTAATAAATCGATTGTACAATTTAACAAATCGTTTGTACAATTTAATAAATCGTTTGTACGATTTAATAAATCGTTTGTACAATTTAATAAATCGTTTGTACAATTTGTTTGTTAAATCGTTCGTACAATTTATTAAATCGTTTGTACAATTCATCAAATCGTACAAACAATTTATAAAGTCGTACAAACAATTTTTTAAATCGTACAAACGTTTTCTTAAATCGTTAAAAGTCTAAAAACGGCTTCCTAAATTGTTCAAACGATTTATAAAACTCGTACAAACTATTTTAATAAATTGTATGAACGATTTAATAAATTGTACAAACGATTTAACAAACAAATTGTACAAACGACTTATTAAATTGTACAAACAATTTATTAAATTGTAAAAACGACTAATTAAATTGTATAAACGATTTATTAAATTGTACAAATGATTTATCAAATCGTACAAACGATTTAAAAAAAATTTTTAATATAACACTACAGTCGGCAGGAAATTACGGAAGCCCGCTGGTGCCACGTACGAAAAATATTTTTTCTGGCGGCTGCCACTTATGATTTGGCGGCCGCCACATAAATTATTTTTGCGAAATGTGAGTGTTATGGTGTCTTTATTGGGTTAAGAAGATGGATGTTGACACAGCCGCTGCTTATTGATAAAAAAGTTAATGATAAAAAACAAATTCTTAAATATTGGAACACCATTCCTAGAAATCCAGAATGCAAAACTTTATTTAATTCTCAATCAATCATAGCTTACAGCAAACACAAGAATATAGGTGACGAGATAATCCGGTCTACCTAAAACTAACACCATGATTTATGTTTGTGACCCCTGATGAGGCTTCTTAATAACCGAAACTACTTGCAAAATTCAAATCAAATATTAATCTGCTCTATGCAAAAACATATACAATGTAATATAAGTGTGGTTTGGAGTGTCGGGTCCTAATAAATCTCTTACAAGTTTGGTTGATTGATGTTGCTAATTTTCGCTGATTTTCACACTGTATCTACCTCTGAAATCACACGTTAAAACATGTGCAGACATCAGGAAACAAGGTGTTATCCGGCGGACGTCAGATAAATTATGTGGCATCCGCCAGATATTATGTAGCGGCCGCCAGATAAATATGTGGTGACCACCAGATATTATGTAGCAGTCGCCAGATAAATATGTGGCGGCCGCCATAATTCTACAGTGAAACCTGTCTAATCCGACATGCACTGGGAGACAGATTTTGTGTCGGAATAGACAGGGTGTCGGATTGCACAGTGTTAAAAACAAGGTAAATTCTAAAATGGGATTGAAATGTAACGTCAGAATTTACAGTGTGTCGGATTATTCAGGTGTCGGATTAGACAGTTTTCACTGTATTATGTATTGTAGCGGTCGCCAGATAAATATGTGGCGGCCGCCATATATTATGTAGCGGCCACCAGATAAATATATGGCGGCCGCCAGATAATTATGTAGCGGCCGCTACTTATATATCTGGCGGCCGCCAGATAAAATATTTTTCGTACGTGGCACCATCGGGCGTCCGTACTTTATGACATATTTTACCTTGCAGTTATTACTTTAGTCGCCATATTGTAGGACAACATTCGATTAAGAGATCCCTTCATTATTCACATTCAGGCCACACCAATTTGTAAAATAGTTCTTCGGATTTTCAAAAATAAAAAGTGAGGCGAGCGAGCGAAATTTTTTTACAAATAATTTTTTTTTTTATTTTGGGTTTCAAAATTATGAGGCGAGCGAATATAATTAATACGTATATATATTTTTTAATAAAGTGTGATTTCAAAGAGCGTGAATCTAAAAAATAAAGATAGATATCATTTGCATACCACATGAACTTATTATTTTTAACTTATTTGGGATTTTTTTAATAAGTAAAAATGTGTCAAATTTGAATATTTCAAAGACTTTACTTTCATAAATGTAATGTTTTCAAATATCTCCTCTGCTTCCATTTCTGTTGCTGTGTATGAAATAAATTTGTACCCATTGTTTTTAACTATAGTACACAGGGTTGTGCAATTAAAAAATCAAGTACTAGCCCACAGGCTAGTGGCAGCTGCAAAGTTACTAGCCCAAATACAGGGGCAAAAATTAAAATAAAACTTGAATGTTGAAAAAGAAATTAATTGCTGGTAAAAGTCAGGGTACTTAGGTCATTCTTTTTAAAGTAAAGTTTAATTCTCAATATCAAATTCAGTCCTGTTTAAATTATTATGAAATGAAATTAAAATGAATTTCAATAAATTATCTTCCCTTTTTCTGATCATTGCACTAGCTCATTTAAAATGAAATGAAATTCATTTTGTTTTCATCAAAAATCATTCAATGCAAAAGAAATAGATTTTATGTGAGTCGCAAAACACTTATCTTTCAGTTGATTGAGTGATCGCAAGTAATTTAAAGATATAGCTGCATGTATTTACCATAAATGGGGGAATAGAGGAAATTCGGATTAGGAAAAAACGATCATTTTTGGAAGTAAATAAGTCAGGTAGCTCTGCAAAACGGATAAGTTTATGGAGATTTATTGACAGTAGGAGTATGTTGTCTGGAAAATTTAAACTGGTTGGGAATTTTATAGCCAAAAACGAGTGAAAATACCGGTTGTGCTTTTCATGTATTGCGTGTGTAGTCATATTTTTTACTAGCCCGACGGGCTATCTCCTTGTAGAAAACCACTAGCCCGACCCCCAGGAATGGTAGCCCCTGGCGTCAGGGGATGCTAATTGCACACCCCTGGTACATATGAACAGTTAAACAGGCATCGTGCAAAACTTCACAAACTGCTTCAATCTCACTATAAATCCCGCGCATCTGTCATACAAGTTTCAAAGTCTTCCGTGTGTGGTGTAAAAAGTCGAGAAAAAAATTGTAGTCGGATTTTTTTGGACGCGCGCGCGGACATTTTTTTTAAATATTATAATTTGCATTTGTAAATTGTAATAAATAGAAGCGGCGAATCCGACGAACTATATTAGAAATTGGTATGGCCTCAATTTGTTTTACTGGTCACTGAGGTAAAGACAATACTATTTTTCTTATGAATATACGTTTGTTAATTAAAGCCTCAATTAATTCATGATTATAAGATTGTAAATATTTTCCCCATATATTATTTCTTGCATGCATGTTTAAAATTGGTTGCCCACAGAGGTAAATTAATAATTTACTGCTTTACCCTACAAAATGGCAGCTAAGGGAAATAACTCCTTGGCAAAAAGGGTCTATAGATACTCTAGGCCTAGTGTATAATTTAAACATATCCTTCTAGAGTAGATCGAAGCAAATTTCTAAAGTCCCCTCTCAACCATTTTTTTTTTGTTGTAAGGTCGACCACTGACAAATTGCAGAATAGATAGTTTTCATATGACCCAATTTTAGCAAAAGTTAGCTCCCGTTTGCCGCCATACTAGAGGTCCAAATGCTCATATTCCTTCATTGTTCAACCAATTTTAAATTTTTATAGGCTATTTGCAATTTTGAATTAGGAATCATTATTTTTCTGAAGTATATAAATTTTTGGAAGCCTCCTTTATTAAGAAAAAATTATTTAATAAATTAAAGATTTTCTACCAAATATTTCTGCTATATTTTCTTAAACTTGGTAAGACAAAGAGGAAAACTCACCGTGTCGACCTCCAATATGGCGACTGAACGGGAGGTAACTTTTGCTAAATTTGGGTCCATCGAAAACTATCTATTATGGGGAAATGAACCGGAAAAAGAAATCTATAAGAGAATAATGCATATAGCACACTCATCCACCCCAAAATGGAATTTTCTAGTTCTGAATTCTGTCACATTTATCCCAGGATAATGATAGTCCGATGTACATGACTTAGGCCTACTACTAGTAGTATTAAATGTTCACAACTTCGGTTGTTATAAGTAGGCCTAATAGATCTACTTTCAGGGATTTGATTCGGGGGGGGGGGGTGCAGGGGGTATCGCATTTTCAGGTTTTGGACAGATTTTCTTTGCTTCTATGGGAATCCGTTTGTTTTGTCAATCTTTTTCTAGGAAAGCTGGACTTACTCTAGTCATCATGAAAATAAATATTCTGTCACATCCAAGCATGAATATACGTCAATAATCCGACGTGCACATCCCTTCAGAATCTCTAATTTGGCATTTTACATCAGGCCTGAATACAGTCATTTGTTGCGATATGATGTTAAATTCATGTTTTATTAAAAAAGTATATACGTAGGGGTTAAAAACTGCAAAATATTTTGTTCTTGATACAAATAAAACAACATAATTATGAAATACTATATGTAGAACCTACCTTTCAAAAACGTCCGAAACACCGTCTGTTGCAGAATGACGTCATCTCTTATTGTATGACGTCATAAAACAATCAGTGTGTAAAGGCACTTACTGGGCATGGCCGGATTACCACATTACAGCATTTTTAGTGACATTTTCTAAAAGACAAACGAAATGTTTACAGCTAGAGCAACATTCACACTTCCTCCACAGTTAGCAGTGTTAGGGGCTACATAACTTTGTCCTTGTCATTGTGAAATCAAATTTTTCTCTATCTGATGTCTTCGGGCTCGGTGGTGTCGCAATGGCTTAATCAGTGAATGGGATGAAAACTGACTTTTCTTTTTATCTTGCAAATATACACAGTATAATCTTCAATATCTTAATTATACAGAGAAGGGGAAACATTTATTTAGCTTGAGCAATCACTTGAAGCAAAATCGAAGCAAAACGTTTATAAATCATAAGAAAAACGTGACTCTTTTTTTATATACACATAAAAAAAACTTTTCGGACTAGAATAAAAATTTCATATCTATGTTGATATTTAGAAAAAATGTCCTATAGATCCGCGCCTTTTTTAAAAACTTACATAAATAAAAATTTATTCAAATATGTGTGGCAGTTGGCATTGGCAGTAAGCAGTGATATTGGTATCAAGACAAATATTTTTATAAGGATTAAATAAAAAAAATACGGATTTTTTTTTCTTTTTCTTAATTTAATTTTTTACCTACAAGTGTTTCTGATCACAGTTCAATATCTTTGCCTTCTTCATCAACCTGAATAATTTGTAAACACGATGACACAACATTCAAAATATATTAAAAAGAGATAGTACTTGTCAGATATACTTCTCATGATTTTATAATTCTCAGTCTTTTAAATTCGAAATTGTTCAAGTTATTTTGGGAAAACATGCCCACAGAAATCTATATAGTAAAGGGGGATGGGGGTGGCACAGCCATAAATTTTCAGTTTTCAACTACCAAAATCTCTTGACAAGCAATTAAAAAAAGGGGGGTCATACTTTTTCATTAAGGGGCCACAAGCACAAGCACGTAGCAACAGGGGGTCTGCTGGCCCCCCTTTTTTCCCAACATTATTTTTCCTATTGGAAATGTTTATTGAAAGGCTGGTGCCCACCCCCCCCACCCCACTTTATACTACAAGATAATGATATCAAAGAAATGTAGTACTGAATGGCAAAAAAACTAATACTGAAAAAAGTTGTCAAATATTAAACCTGAAACAACACAATTATTTATCATAATTATGCATTATTCAAATATTGACTGGAGGGGAGAGCACCCAAAGCATTATTGCCCGTTACTGAGCAGAAGGCAATACTGGTATTTTCTTTCGCTAAATAAAATTGCACAAGTTTTTTACTTAGCTGTTTTACGCTATAATTCAGCTTCCCGATGAGTACATGTTTATCATAACCCAGTCAGAAAAGAACAACCTCATACAGAGGGCGTTTTGGGTTTACTACATATTTTATACGTACGGCAAGTTCAAATCGGCAGACGTTTGAAAGGAGTTACAATGTATTCAATCACTTTTGAAGCTAGAAAAAAGCGGTAGAAAAAATGTAGATATTGATTTAAATCATGTGTTAACCGAGGCACCCTCTGAAATCCAAGATGGCGAGTGGCGCTCCTTTACTCTTTTTTTATACAGTAATTATGACATTATTTAAAACGTGCTAATTTCAGCGATTTTTTTTATTTTAATGAGGGTATTCAGACACACCTGAAAAACACACAAAATACACCAACCTGAAACCAAGCGCATATGATAAAAACAACACATGACAAAAATCTATATCACACCCCTTATCAACCCGAGACTCCATATCAGCCCGAGGGCCGAAGGCTGATATGGGGTGTGATACAATTTTGCCATGTTTTATTCTCGATTTAGTCATATATAGTTCAATGTTTTACTAGGTGGTTTTTCAATTTATCAGTGGGATTTTTTTTGTCGATCCGAACTGAATAAAAAACGACAAAAGACACCCAGTATATAGTGTTGATCTCTTTTATTACATCAGTAAGAATATTTTCGTTTCTTCAAATGACAAAACATTGAAATCTTTACTTCGGAAAATTAATACATACTCATCTTAGCTAGCCAAGGGGTTTCCGTTTATGAGGAGAGTAGCGTATCAGAAACCCTTGGCTAGCGAAGATGAGGAGAGTACTTAGCGTATCAGAAACCCTTGGCTAGCGAAGATGATACATACCCGGTACTAAAAACATTGAAATATGTATTGTATACTCATTTGCAAAAAGCATTTACATGTGGACGGCATTAAATTATTTACCATATTAAAACATGTATGTCCAAACATAATTTATTTAATGTCATTTAAATTTTATTCACCATTATCAGTGCTTTAATATAATAGCTTACATGCATCTGTTATTAAAGTTTTGCTGTTTAAGTTTCATATTTAAGCGGGTTATGTAAATTTTTTCTGCAATAGCTGCGACCGTTCATTCCAGTAATAACAAACAAAGAAAGAAATTTTATTGTTTATATTTATATCTGTTTAAATTTTCATTTTAAGTAGGATTAAAAATATTAATTATTGTGTTAATGATGCGAACGTCTTTGTACGTTTCATTGATGGAACGGCCACTGATCAAGAAATCTGTACAGGTGATAGCCTAATGTAGTTCATGCAGTGATGGATGCAATGGGTTTTCTTAAGAAATAAAGAAGAAAATATTCAGTGGATGTAAATATATTGAGATCATCGAAAATTTTGTCTTTTATGCTACCATTTTGGTTTGCAAGATAATTCGCGCCAACGCACTTCGTGCAGATGTCAAAAAGGAGAGTACTTGATAGAGGAGTAAGGAATATTTTGAAATCTATTTTTTGCGAATGAGGCAGGAATTTGAAAAAATTAATCCAAAACAAAGTGCAACTTTTTGTGCACAATAAATATACAGTTTTTACAATGGGTGGCACTGTAGCTCTCCGGTCTGTCAATTTATTATTCGAAGAGCTACTGTTCTGCCGTCAATATTTTTTTTCTTCGGAGAGCTACAGTTCTGCAGCTATTACTGGACCTGATAATAAGAAAGTGTGTGACAAAGGCTTTACTTTCTTAGAATAAACTGAAGATCTGGATTCTTGTTTTTGAAAAAAAATGCCGATGGTAAAAATATATTTACAGTCTTACAGTATTTTAAAAAAAGGAATCGGATCAGTTTTATTTTGCTACAGTAAATACCGTTGTCATGGTATTTCCTTCCACTACTTTAGTTAATTGAAATTCTATCCATTCTTTTCCGAACTTGATCTTCATGTTTTCCCTGATTTCTGTGTCACTGACAATTTCGACCTTGTTCTGTGTGTAAATAGAAAAATTATTTTGTTCTATTATATTCCAAGGTCGCCGAATGGTTCAAATTTGATCATATGATCTAGTATACATGTATAAAAGCATATACATGTAGACATGTAACTTCGAGCTCGGTAGATATACTTTTCTGTGAAATTGACAATTTGGCTGAAATACACGTATACCAGAAACAAAATATATCAGTATTAATTTATTAAAATATAATACGTTTAAACCTTTTTTGCCTCAGAACTTTACTTTGAAATTTCAAGAGAATTAGACCATCTTTAAAAAATTAAAACCATCATTCCAAGCATTTGAAAGAATCGGATCTTCAAAAAAAATCAACCTTCATTTCCCTGCCGTCGAGGGTCTTGTCATTAATCTCTTCACCGATGCCGAATGTGTAAGTTTTCGCCATTCCCGGCATGCCTGTGTTAGAGATGGCAACTGTCAACTTTCCATTGGAATCTATGCTTTATTAATTGTATTCCTCGATTCTCTCTGTGCTTCAATTTGCTCCTTTGAAAAATCTTTGAATTCAACACGTATTAGTAACTACCACTTAAAATTTCATTAAAAGACTTAAGATGTATATAATTATTCAGAATTTTAATTTTTCCCTTATCTGCATTTACATGTGGATGCGTTGCTTAAATTCCATAAGAAAATATAATTTGTCCAAAAAAATTAAAGAAATTTGACGTCTATCATCTACTTCATAGTATCAAGCATTTTACATAAGTATGAAATATCCGATCACCCCCCCCCCTCACAACCCCCTTTCTTTCGGAAAAGAGGGTCATGATTTGTTCACAATTGCGTCTACACTAACTGAGGATGCTTCCATATCTTTGTGACTAATTGTGGTTTTAGAATTTTTTTCCTAAATGTTTGATCTTCTGTTCTGTCCCCTTCTCCCTGGGAACATATGTGGAACAAACGTGAAACTACACTTCCCGAAAATGTTCATGAATTAGTGCTAGATTAAATTGACCGACAAGGTTATAAACAAGAAGATACAATTGTATAAAAGTTAAGTTGAAATTGGTCTAGTGGTTCTAGAGAAGAAAATGGGTTTGTAAAAGTCTACGACAACAGAAAACGGGCAAATTTTGGGGTGCTACTAAAACGCGCGGAATGGAAAACGGAACGGAAAGCGGAACGGAAAGCGGAAAATTAATGTCAAACAAATATCCTAGATTCTATATACATGTAAATCACACAAAATAGCAATATACTTGATATAAAAGTCATATTTATGAATGTCTAATGAAAATTCCATGCGCGGATCTAGATTTCGGGGGTTTCGGGGGGGGGGGTCAGGACCCCCCTGGAATTTACCAGGTTAAAAAATGTATATACTAAAACAAGAAAAAAAGTTACCATGGACCCCCCCCCTGGAAAACGCTGACTCCCCCTGGTAATCGCAAATATGTGTGAAATGGGTATGAAAAGTGAAAGATTTTAGGCAGTAGAAGTCGCCAACCACCCCCCCCCCCACCCCCAACGAAATAGGTTTTTGACGATTGGGCGAGTTTAGGTTTTTATTTTATTTTTTTTATTTTTTTTATTTTTTTTGGCTTGTCAAGAAATTTCTGGGATTGGATTTTTTTTTCCAACGGATTGGACCCCCCCTGGAAAAAATTTCTGGATCCGCGCCTGAATTCATCGTTAAATATGATGTATTCATGATTTATGCACCCCTACATGTACATGTGATGGTCATTAAGATTATAAACATACTAACTAGACTAAAATCCTGAGTAACCATCAGAGCATTTCGTACAAATCCATTTCTTTTTTAAATTTTAAAAAGCACATTCATAAAAAGAAATATGGTTTTGAAAAAAAGCGGAAGGTGTGTGCGTATATGTACATCTACATGTATCTGTAAAGACAAAACACTATAGTTTTGATATTCAGCTTGTGCATATGTAGCAGTGAATCCAGGAATCACAACCACACCAAAAATTGATTTATTAAATCTTATGTCAATTTTGGACACCCCCCCCCCCCCCTTAAACCCGCAAGTGGCATGATATGCATATCAAGAAATTCAAATATGAATAGCTGAAACATTCAGTAAACTTGTCACTTTACATGATAGAATAGACTCATAGAGGGTGCAAATATTGTCTATTTCTATGAAATGTATAGTTTTTTGGTGCTAAAATAGCTGCAATAATGTAGCCCTCTCCCCTTTTTTGGGAGGGGGGAGGGCTACAAATCCCTAGAATCTCAGTAATGGTGCAATGCGGCATTGAATTACTCCCGCACGGATTTCGGCTCAAATTATCAGTAAACGGCTATTTTATTAACATCTCTTACCTGAACTCCAAAAATGTAATTATGCAAGACATAAATCGATCCAAAAATATTCCCAACGACCCATATATCGGTTATTTTTCGTGTATCACAACTTCAATTTATCCGCCAAGGCATGGTTGGCCAATAATTACTTAGTGTTTTCCCTAAGAACCGGCAACCGGCCAAATTGACCGCTTCAATTGACAAAAATGCCGCTTTGAAATAACAATTTCTTGTAAGGTCCGCAGAGATTTTGTTCATAAACCTCATACCATAGACTTTTACAACTGATCTCTAACCCTTTACTTTGAAATAAAAGGAAAACACTGATTAGTCTGAAGTTGAGTCTATCATTGTCAGACAATGAACTCTATTTAATTGACGGTGAGAAACTGTAACTGATACCCCAAATTCACAGTCTACTTATTTCGTCCTAAATTTTTAACCATTAAAAACTTTACTTATTATGTTATTGTGTCAGAATCTAAACAATATGTCTGATAATCATCTGACAGGAGATACCTAAATGTATTTTCTATTTCCATACCAAATGTAACTACTCATATCTTAATAACTAGGCTGATACGGGTTGCCATGAATATGAAACTTTTCAAGAAAAAGTAAACATACGTTATACATATTGTTTTTTTACAAAAGTTTTTTCTTAAAAACTTCCTAACATATAGAATATTTTATTCTGACCTAGAGCAGCCATGAATTCGTCATATCCTTGGACCTCAGTATCTTCCCATGTTCCTACAAAGCTTTCACTCGCCATCCTTCTCTCTCATTTACGGTAACCCATTCAGGACTTATCATTATATTTTTGTCCTTTACAACGAATGGACTTTGTATAAAACGAATCAAATTCATCAGATTTTTTTTTTTACATACAACAATGTTAGTTCATTCTGATTTTTTCCTGTTTAACGTCCACTCATCTATCAAAAGTATACCCTTCTCTTAAATGATCTCGTCTACTGAAAGGCTACTACATGGTTTAAAAAATAACGACGAGTTGCTTTGAAATGAAAATGAAAGATATGAAGCTCAGAACAATAGATAGACATTATGAATAGAGAAAATCCTGACCTCTTTTTAACACCAGAGGGCTCACGATTGATGTAATATGTTGATAGGGTTGCTTACTCCTTTCAAGCACCTGATTCTACCTCTGGAATACCCGAGGGACCGTGTTTTATAGCCTCTTTACAGTTTTAATTTTTTTGTATATTTTTGGAGACGGATCACTATTTGTTGTCTTCTCCATCTTCTTTGCATCAAACTGAATTAAGTATAAGCTTTTTAATTGTACACTATTAAATTAATATAAATGCTGGCATATTCTGGCATTTATTATTTATCAATAATAATGAGAAAGTCACCCTACGAACCAAAATGTGTTTGTGAAACACGGAAGCTTCCGATTGCCACCTTTTGATGAAGGTTGAAGTCTCTCAAATGCAATACGTTAGTCAAACTTGAAGGTCAAGAATGAAAAATGTTGCCCAAATAAAGGACTTGTTCTCAATGAATATACACTTGTACTTCTGAAATATGAAAGCTCAAAGAATAGCCATTAAAAGTTATTGGCAGTCTTTTGGAGTTTTTTTTTAAAAATTTGAGTCAAACTCCAAGGTCAAGTTTAAAGGGTCAAATCAAGGGTACCCAGGGGAAGACCTTGTTAGGAAATAAACAGGTGAAATAATAAAGCCATAGCACCAAGTTTTCTAAAAGTAGGTCAAATTCCAAGTTCAAGATAAAAAGGTCAAAAGTGTTTGTATCCAAAGGAAAGCCTTGAAATATGGAATACACCTGTGAATATGAAGACCTAGAACTAATTGTTCAAAAATAATGCCCAATATTAAAGTTTTTCTAACTGGGTCAAACTCAAAGGTCATGGTTAAAAATATTTACAATTGTGGAAAAGTCTTATCTCAACATATACACATATAAGGAATGAAAACCCTAGCAAATTTTGTACAAAAACTTCTTGCAAAACTGGGTAAAACTTCAAGATCAAGGAGCCAAATATGTTGTCACCCAAGGAAAGGCCTTGTCACAAGGAATTCACATGTGAAATATAAAAGCCATAGCTCCTACCAATCCAGATTTATGAGTAATGTTCAAGTTTTTGCGGACAGGCGGCTAGAGAGACGGACGGACAGGACAAAAAATATATATACTGCAACATCACATAATTTAGTGGGCTCAAATTTTTGTGGTTTGAGGAAAAACTCTTGGTTCGTGGGTATTTGATTTCGTGAATGAAGAATTGTTGAGTAGTTGGACATAAATTTGTCTCTCCATACCTCGAACACAACGTAGATTAAACCCCACGAAGTTTTGAGATTTTACAGTACCCTGAATCTTCTATTACAGGGACCTAAAATTTACAAATGTGATATATAACAATGGAATATAAATACACATGCTTAACGACAAAAGAGACATTGAACAATAAGACATTCCAAAAAGGGGGAAATGCTTACTCACTGTCTTAAAAAAAATGCATTACAAGTTGTAAAAGGCTGCCAGCTTTCCTTCATTCATATAATCAAATACATGTGCCTTTTAACGGAAAAAAGCTTACTTTTTACAAATAATTTACAATTAATGTAGGATACACTGCTACAAAATTTATTTAGTTGATAATCAAAAAAATATAGAATTTTCAAAATATTTTCAATGCATTATAAAAAAAAAAAGCTGCATATAAAGTTATTTCTTTTATTATTGCAAAAAGAAAAAAATGAAGATTTAAAACTTTTTTACAATTTTTAATGAGTTATAAATCACTGTCTGTTTTGTATTTATTGATTGAATCATTCTGAAAACAAAAATGACATTTTTTTTCAATACCGATAATCTGTATAATAGTACACAAAACTTGGACAAAACTTTTATAGTATCATCACATCGTAGTAAAAAAAAAATTTAGCAACCTAAAATTAATGCAAGAAAATATGTAAGTAAATAGTGTAATACACAGCGCTTCAATAGAAAAATACAATAAATTTAAAAACACAAAATAAAGATAAAATAAAATTTGAAAACACAATTCGATTTTTAAAAAGGTATAAAAAAAATTAATTGAAATAATACAACTACAACAACATTTTTACAAGCTTTACAACAGGAACATTTTAAAAAATTTACAAAGCATCAATTGTTAATCTAGTTTTAATACTAGTATACATTTATTTAGAACAGTTCTCAGGTAAGTTTGGACTTTCAGTAAGGCGTGGCATTTTCGGCGCAATGTAATCAGCGTCTGTCAAATGGCGAAAAGATCATTCTC